ACAGTTCTCCAGGTTCACATAACCATTACTGCGGTCTAGATGGGAAAATGAGGCTGGACTGGCTGAAAAGGTGATGACACTGGTAACACAGAGTAATCCATAGAATAATTTTATATTATCCAAAGAGAGATGTCTGTGGGCAGATTGTTGATGCTGCCATGTGGAGCAGCAGAGGCTTGTACTTTCTGCCATAGCTGTTTGTCTCTTGTGGAAGTGGACAAATGAACTGCATATATCTGTAGCTGTAGTCACCAGCGCCATGCAGTAAAGTGAAAATATGTTGTAACTATATCTCACCAGGAAACTAAGTTTAGTCTTGACTTTGTGTAGAAAAATGTGTTTTTTAGAAAAAATCAACAACCAGGATCCTTGTCATATATTATCAGCAATTTCCTTTAGACTCCTAGCCTTTCTGTGGCATTATTTCTATTTAGTTAAGAGATGTATCTGTTCACTGCTATGCAATAACAACAGGGAGGAAATCACCACCACATATCCAGTGCAAATTTATTGATTAATTTCATAGACCAGTTTTCAAAACTCGAAGTAAAACTGTCATTTTCTCTCAAATGAGCCCGAATTCAGTGGGTAAAAGCACTATGCCAACCAACATTGTTCCTTAAAATAAAAATTGAATTATCTCCTAAAGCAAAATGTAGCAAGATGCCTATTTTGCAAACAGTTCAAAATAATTCAGATGGGACTATTTCCAAGCAATTTCTTCTATGTGAATGAAAAAGAAAACGTCTGCAGAGCTATATATAGTGTCAGTACCAAGTGAAAATAACACATTTGTACCACACAGGTTGTTCCCCCAGAATGATTCTAACTCTGGCTGTCATTACAATTGCTTCTCATTGCACTTGCAAATGCATTGAGACTAAATTTGCATTTAGCTTGCATGGAACCATTTGCATGTAATGAAGAATCTGATTAATTCTGCTCAGATTTTGTTTGTTTGTTTTCATGGTTACACCAGAAGCTCATATGTCCTGCAAGTAAGAAGCATGGAATCTGATAGATGCATGGTAGCCGTACTGGATCATGGCTATATGTCAGTATTTTCAGTGTATTTACCTTTCTTGGAATCTGTAACAATATTGTATTTTTAATACATGCTTCAGACCTTTATTGCAGCTATTTGTATGCTTAGAGAACAAGGAATTGTCAATATACATATGTAAGGATTTTGAGCACATTTCCAGTGTTTGCATATTCTCCTGTAGAGAAGAATAGACAAACAAAAGCAAACAAGCCACTGATAAAGAAGGTCAAATTCCAAAATGAAAACTATTCTGCTGTGCAGATGGTTTATTCACCTTTCCAGCTTCTTACAGGTGCTACCTAGAAGAGTAACACATGGAGCAAGGGCGACACACTGTGATAATCTAAGAGAAATACAGGATTCTTTATTTTATTTTATTTTATTTTATTTTATTTTATTTTATTTTATTTTATTTTATTTTATTTTATTTTATTTTATTTTATTTTATTTTATTTTATTTTATTTTATTTTATTTTATTTTATTTTATTTTTTCAATTGGATGTTATCTCCTAGTTGGTCAGAATCATCACAGATCCACGATAAATGAATTTTTCTCATTGCGAGTTAAGGCCATGTGAATGTGCTCCTCCACGGTATCTGTGACTATCCAGTGACAGCATTTCATCAGGAACAAGCTGCTGGAGGTCCAGCAAATGGAAAATGGGGAGAGAATGAGCTATCTGACACACAAGCTCTGTTCGTCTCAACAAGACTTTGTGCTCTCTTAGGGAACAAAAAAAGCAATTCTAAAATTTAAGAAAAAAAAAAAAGTAAAAAAAAGTCACAGGTTAAATCCAGTAAAACAAGTTGCTCCGTTATCCTAGGGATTATTTTTTGATAGTGTTGTGCCTTTTGTTTGATTCTTTTTTATTGACTTACATTAAGGTTGAAGCAAGATATCATGAGAGACATCTGGAGAAGATTCAGCCTTTTATATGTCAAAATGTCCTTCTTGACATCAAAACATACAGATAGGAGAGAAACTTAACAGGACATTCTCTGGAACCTAATAAAACATGATCCCTGAAAGTTTTACTTTAAACTAATACCAGTTATAATGGCAACTGATAACAGTTACGAGATATACCTATTATGGATAGTTCATATGGCTTTCTTTTTTTCAGTCTGTTGTCCTTCTCGTAGACAAAAAGATGAAAACAGACTTTGAAAACAGATTTTCAAAAGGTTCAAAGGTCTTTCAGAAACCAGGCTAAAATAATGAGATAGAGTTTGCTTTATGAGAACGCTATTCAGAAAAATAAATACATTTAGCAATAGTTAACATGTTAGGCAAGATTTCCTGTTCCCTAGTTTTGCTTTGGGTTTTGGCTGCCTTTTAGACGAGGCTTAATCTTGCATTTCTGTCATATGTGAACCCTTAGCGGGTCATGAACTGTGGCTTCTGTGAAGGAAAGTTGTTGCTATTAACCTGATGATTCAGCGTACAGACAGCCTATGCCATCCTCAAAGAGGACACGTAGTGTACTAGAGGAGTAGTATACTTTTGGAGTAGTATACTTGCTGAGGAAGAGCCTCCAAGGTGCTTGACAATGATGAACTAGAGCTGTTCATCTCTCAGAAGCACACGAGTCTGACCTTCGTCCTGGAACTACAGTTTAATGGCATTCCTTGGTTTCTGACACTTGCAGTAATACAAGTGTTTCTGACAAAGAAAAAGAAGAGAAGAGAAGAGAAGAGAAGAGAAGAGAAGAGAAGAGAAGAGAAGAGAAGAGAAGAGAAGAGAAGAGAAGAGAAGAGAAGAGAAGAGAAGAGAAGAGAAGAGAAGAGAAGAGAAGAGAAGAGAAGAGAAGAGAAGAGAAGAGAAGAGAAGAGAAGAGAAGAGAAGAGAAGAGAAGAGAAGAGAAAAGGAAAGGAAAGGAAAGGAAAAAGAAAAGAAAAAGGACATACCAATGTGGGAAGTACTTCTCTTGAATAAACTACTTTTTGAGAGATGTTCCTCAAATTAAGATGAGAAACCTCATATCAGTTCTCATTATGCCTTCCTGTCAAAAGCAGAGGTTTTCCCATGTAATGTGACATTAACACCAATTGCATAAATACCTACTGCATCTTTACTTTGCATCAGCTTTGCATTATTTACCACTACAGGTTCTATTGTGAAGCTTCATTTATCATTTGCATCCTACAGAAGCAACAAAACTAGAGAGCAAAGGAATTTAACTACTATATCTGCAAGTGATCTGCATTTTTCAGGCATGGGGACTATATTCCAGAACAAATTTTATTCTGAAAATCTTTCGTCAGGAATCTCCGCTGTTAATGGTACCTGTATCTCTTTCTGCACCAAAAAAAAAAAAAATTAATGAACAATAACAGCTGATCTTACAATGTATTTCCTTTCCAACTTTTCCACTTTTAAAATCTCACATTATATATTGATATTTTGAGTGGCTGATACCAAGCTATTTTTTTTTTTTCTGGATCTTTGCAAGCACTCCAGCCTGTTGGTGGAAATACGCCTATAACTATTCATGTGGGTTTGTGCTGGTGGTGTTGGTGGTGGTGGGAGGGGGAATGTTGTTTGTTTTGGTTTGTTTTGTTTTGGTTTCATTTTGTTTTATATAAAAATGTTATTTTGGACGAGTGAAGCTATTACCTCCCTGCTGTTGTAGTCAAACCCTAAGGGACAGGCTCACCTGGGTGTGTAGTGGGCACAGTGCTACTGACAGTCAGTAGGGATCAGTGGCACCACAGATTGACTTGGAGCAGAGCAGTGTACAGAAGTTTTGATCCTGCCATCTTGTGTGTATGTGCACATGAGCACCAAGCAGTCGTGCTGGTTACAGTTGCATCCAGCCTTGACAAAAACGGTACAAAATGTGGTTTCTCAGACTGAACATAACATAGCAAGCCTGGTTCACTTCAGGAAAAGTCTGGTTCAAAAACGAAGTCCTGCTTGACAAAAGTCAGCAAAATACTTTCTTCTGATTTTTGTGGAGACAGGGTTTCAAATTTGTCTTTCATGCCACCTTCCTGCCACGTTTCTTCCTGCACTGCCCATCATCTCTGCTGCCAGTCTGTTAACATGCCTTTTGCACCAGTTTCATTTAGGAATTCTTTATGCCTGTTTGTCCAGTTTCTGTGTTCTGTCAAGCTGCAAACATCTAAAAAACATCTGTGGCCTTTTCTACCCTTTCCAGGCACAGTTCAGACAGAGCTATGCAGTCTTCAATAATACAGTAAAATTGTACTTGTGCCATGAAAAAGCTGTGCAGTGCTTACTCCAAACCTTAAGTGAAACTGGTTCTCCACAATCTGTAACATACATGTATATCCCAGTGTATTTAGGAGGACCGGAAGGACCCCAAAGTAATCTTTGCTGCACCTCTGCTTATGTTTTCTCAATATACCTTTGGGGCATGTTACTGAAAGACAATTTTTAGTGTTTTATAAAAACGTCTGTAGAAATTCAGTTTGGGAAAAGTTTCCCTCTCATGTGACATGATTTGTTCTCTATACACTCTGCCTGTGAAGCTACAGCTGCAGTGATTTGGAAACCGTAGGTAAAAAGGCGTGGAATGTTTTACAGTCACAATTTTTCCCTCATTTGTGCCAGGAGCAAGGACAAACTGCGGGAGCCATCTGCCTTCCCCCAGCCTGTCTGGAGCGGGAAGAGCAGCAGCCAAGAAGCTGTGTGATGGCTCTGCCCGTCATAGCCCTGGCCCTTTTCGTCTCAGCCATAGGGAAGGAGGCAGCAAATCCTGCTTCTGGCAGCACCCAGCAATGTCACTGTGCTCCTGACTGCAGTGCAAGCATTCCTGTCTCATCTGAATAATGGGTTAATGATGGGTTCTGTGCTTAAAATTGCTTAATGTACATAAAAGTCTTGAGTGCTTTGACACATGCTTTACAAGTATCAGTAGGAGGCGTAAGTTATAAAAGATAACCAAGACAGGGAAATGATTTATTTATTTATTTATTTTTATTTTCCAGAACAGCAACAAATACCATGACCAGTAAGAACTAACTTTGGCCTAGTCTTCTCATCTAGTACCACACAGCATTGTGGCAGAGCAGTGCTCTATAACAAGAAGCGCTGAGCTTATTGCACAAAGACTCAGGTAAGCCAAAAGAAGTATTATCTTCATTACCCTCAAGCAGGTCAGGCAGATGTTATCAGGAAATGTCTGGCAGTCATGGACTGCTTTGTGTCTTTGTTCTGCATTAACATGCTTCAGCAGAACAGGAGAAGACAAGGAGCTCCATCAGAATGGACCCTGTGAGTGATAGGGAGAGCACGTTTCTATTTTTTTTTTTCCTGAGAAATAAATAAATAATTTACCAAAAGCAAACTTTAGAGACTGAGTTAAATTCCTCACCATTCCCTTTAGGACAAGTTTTTAAAATGTGTAGTACTTTGGTGAAGTCAAGAGGGGCATCAGTAAAACTGCTACCTTGGACTTCTGGAGGGCAGACTTTGAATTGTTCAGCACACTGGTAGGGAGGGTCCTTTGGGAGTCAGTCCTGAAGGGCAGAAAGGCCCAGGAAGTCTGGATGATCCTCAAGAAGTCTTCAAGGTGCAGGAGCAGGCTGTTCTTGTGTGCCTTAAGATGAGCTGGCAGGGAAGAAGACCAGCAGGGATGAACCAGGATCTTTTGCTGAGTATGTGGGAGAAAAACATTTTATGTCCAGTGGAAGAAGGGGCAAGCAACTTGGAGAGAGTACAAGGAAGTTGCCAACATATGAGAGAGAAAATCAGGAAGGCTAAAGCCCAGCACAAGCTCAACCTGGCCACTATGGTTAAAGATAACAAAAAACATTTATATATATATAGTAATGGCAAGAGGAAAACAAAGGACAATCTCTATCCTTTCCTGGACACAGAGGAGAACATGACTACTGAGGATAAGGAAAGGGCTGAATTTCTTAATGCCTTATTTACATCCGTCTTTTCTAGTCAGGCCGCTTATCCTTGAGGTACTCAATCTCCTGACATGGAAGTCTAGGACAGGGAGCAGAAGAACAACCTCCTTCCCACAAACTTCAGATGGAAACCGTCAGAGGCCTGCTGCTCCACCTGGACTGTCACATGTCCATGGGGCTAAATGGAATTCACCTGAGGGTGCTGAAGAAGTTTGTGGATGTAATTGCTGGGCCGCTTTCCATCATCTATCAGTGGCCTTAGTCATCTGGAGAGGTCCCAGATGACTGGAGGCTTGCCAATGTAACAGACATCTATAAGAAGGGTCTTAAGGAGAACCTGGGGAACTACAGGCCTGTCAGCCTGACCTCAGTGCCAGGAAAGGTGGTGGAACAGGTCATCTTGACTGCTATCACACAGCTTACGTGGGACAACCAGGGGATGAGGCCCAGCCAGCATGGCCTCATGAAAGTCTAGTCCTGCCTGACCAACATCATCTTCTTCTGTGACCAGGTGACCCTCCTGGTGGAAGAGAGAAAGGCTGCTGATGCAGTTTACCTAGATTTCAGCAATGCCTTTGACATGGTCTCCCATTGTATCCTCCTGGAGATGCTGGCAGACCGTGGCTTGGACAGGTACACTTTTTGCTGGGTTAAAAACTGGCTGGATGGCTGGGCCCAGAGAGTGGTGGTGAATGGAGTGAAATCCAGCTGGCGACTGGTCACCAGTGGTGTTTCCCAGGGGTCTGTGTTGGGGCCCATCCTCTTTAATATCTTTATCGATGATTTGGATGAGGGAATTGAGTGCACCTTCAGTAAGTTAGCAAATGGCACCAAGCTGGGGTAAGTGTTGATCTGCCAGAGGGTAGGAAGGCCCTGCAGAGGGACCTGGGCAGGTTGGGTCAATGAGATGAGGTTCAACATGGCTAAGTGCTGGGTCCTGCACTTGGGGCACAACAACCCCGTGCAGTGCTACAGGCTGGGGGCAGAGTGGCTGGAAAGCTGTGCAGAGGAAAAGGATCTGGGTGTGCTGACTGATGCTCACCTGAACATGTGCCAGCAGTGTGCCCAGGTGGCCAAGAAGGCCAGCGGCATCCTGGCTTGTGTCAGGAACAGTGCAGCCAGAAGGACCAGGGAAGTGATTGTCCCCCTGTACTCTGCTATGGTGAGGCTGCACCTCAAGTGCTGTGTTTAGTTTTGGGGCCCTCACTACCAGATGGACATCGAGGCCCTGGAACATGTCCAGAGAAGGGCTATGAAGGTGGGGAAGGGCCTGGGACACAAGTCCTGTGAGGAGCGGCTGAGGGACCTGGGGTTGTTTGGTCTGGAGAAGAGGAGGCTCGGGGGAGACCTTAGTGCTCTCTGCAACTACCTGAAAGGAAGGTGTGGGGAGCTGGGACTCAACCTCGCCTCACTGGTAATAAGTGATAGGACTAGAGGGAATGGCCTCAAGTTATGCCAGGGGAGGTTTAGATTGGAAATGAGGAGACGTTTCTTCTCAGAATGAGCAGTCAGGCATTGGAATGGGTTGCCCAGGGAAGCGGTCGAGTTACCGTCCCTAGGGGTGTTCAAGGAGAGGTTGGACATGGTGCTTGGGGACATGGTTTAGTGGGTGACATTGCTGGTAGGGTGATGGTTGGACCACATGATCATGGAGGTCTTTTCCAACTTTTATGATTCTATGATTCTTCTAGGACCAGATGGAAACTTGTTGTATAAGTGAAGGAAAACATACTAAGGGTCCAAGCAAATTTCTTTCTAGTCCAAACAGAATTTCTTCACATGAAAACAACTTTGATCAGAGTCATTAACAAGCTAAACTACAGAAGAGCAGAACAGACCTCACTGAATTAGTGCACAAATTAAAACTGACTAATTCAATCTGAGAACACATGTGGCACTGCCCCTGGGCATCGCTGCAAGTGCAGTGCCTGTAGGCAGTGCAGGAAGCCCCATGTCTCCCTTGGCAGTCAAGGCTCCTTCCCTGCATTAGGACAGGGAAGCCTCTGCAAGGCAGGGCACAAACAGGAGGAGCACAGGGCAGAGGTCTGACCAGCAAAAGGTCTGACTTCAAATCACCAGGAGCACCTCTACTAGGGTGAATACCATTCATTCAGCACAAAAGCTACATACTCAGCAGCTGTGCACAAGTTATTTGGTGTGTTACCAGTGCAACATCACCAGGATTTCTGAGATCAGATGTGAGGAAAAGATAAAGTGCTGGAAATGGATTGCCTGTAAGGGTCTCTTGAACCAAAGCCAAAGCCTACCTACTTGCAAAAAGAAAGCATATAAGGCTCTCCAATCACCTGGTTTTAAGCCAAAACCTGAAAATCTGAAGTTAATTTTCTTTTCTAGTCCACCTATGATGTTGTAATGGAACAGAAGCACTTTGCAAAAATGTCCCAGCACCATTTCTTAAAACATTTTGCCCTTGAGCAGGCAAATAACAGCAACGTCTAGGGCCAAGATATAAATTACTGATGTTTCCAGCTGCCCCATGCTATTTTATCATCCTTGCTTTAGCATCTGATTATGACGTTTGTGATTCCTTTTGTGTCGAGGCTATATACTATGCAAATTATCCAGGAAGTTTGTCATAAGAGCAGATGTCCACTGTTAGAAAGATAAGCATATCTAAATATTTTCTATCAGCTTTCTTCTTATTCATTGCATTTAGGGGTGGTCTTATAAGCCCATTCATGCACTCACAGCTGCAGCCATGCTTACCATGCTTATATGGACAATAGTTACAGCAGGAAGGAATAGAAAAAGTGGGGAAACCTCTTGGTCTACCATCTGGACAGAAATGAATTTTCCAGAACACAAACTGCTCAGGCTTTATGGCTCCCTCCACTCCTATCTTTGTCATGACTGCCAGAATTGCTAACCTTGTACAAAGCAGCATCTGCTGCAATGCTGGGTCGTGTGTGGTGGGACTCTGGGCAGATATCATACACAAATTTGGAGGTATAATAGTATTAATAGGAAAAAGAGATGCGGAAGTACGTCGGTCATTCAACCCACTTGACATGGGGTTTGGAACATACGGATGATCTCAGGCAAAAAAAAACTTCCATTGCCTTGAAAACCCTGCATTGTCAGTTTGAGGCATAATTCCTTGTTTGCAGAGATAATGTCAATGATTGGAATAATCATCAGCCTGATCCAGATGGAAAAGTAAACACTTTATTTTCATGCTAGAGTCATGTTTGCTTAGCAGTAGCACCTGTGACACACTGAAGGATGAGCTAACACCCACGAAGTATTTCTGTTCCCACTTCTATTGTCCTTTGCAACGGAAGCTCTCACCTTTGTTTTTACTATAAATCCCTTGTAGGAGAGAGATCATCTGCAGTTCTGACTCAGACCATTAAAAGCATATTGAGAAATAACTTAGGTTTCCCAGAAGGCTAATTTACGTCAGCAAGCAGAAAGATAATCACAGTCATAAATCTTTGTCCATGTCTGTATCTCCTGATTGTTTCAAAAATATCAGGACAATACTTTCTATACCTTAAACAAATGCAGTAATTCAACTTGTTTTTCTTAACATCTGCAGTGCATAGTAGCTATGGTCTTTTACGTGTATACCAGACTACTTCCAGCATGTTGGAATTAAAAATGCTCTGTAAATTATGCATGACTTTTTAACATTCATGAATCCCATAATTTTGTTTTATTGATCAGTTCTTTCCAATAATTGGCAACAACCCATGAGGAAATGAATGTTCTACATTGGGCAAATGGGAATTTCATTGGTGTAATAGTGGGAAAACAAGAGATGTGCTTAGCAAGCTAAAACGTTACTGTTCTTTACATTTATCTGAGAGCAGTGTCACTGTCCTTCTGCCTGAATTTACCTGGGGGCTTCAGAGGAGTAAAAAAGCTGTTTTATTTGTTATTTAAAGGGAGGATAAGATATCCAGTAAACCCTCCATTGCTGTTAATATTAATGAAGGTAACCATACACATACCTTGACTTCTATTCTTATTAATGAAAACTAAAACACATCAGTGTAGGGATTCTAAAGGTTTTCATTGCACCTTATTTTCTTAGGACTGGAAGCCAGCCTTAGCCTTCTCTGTTCCCAGTCACACTGTGCCTTCATTTCACACACATACCAATTAGGCACTCAGGGCATACAAGGCTCTCTTCTGGTCCTACATGCCCAAGGCACAGCAATTCTTGCTTTAGTAAGGCAAATTTACTGTGAATAATCCGGTCAGTCAAGACCATGTACTGAAGAAGAGCACTTACCTTTGAGCCAGTTATAAAACACAAGATCTAAGAAGCATCAACGGAAGCAAAACTCGATAGCTGGGGAGGATCCACAGCCATACATCTGCAATCCTACTACCAACTTATTTTCAGATCATGGGATAAGAGAAAAAAATTCATTTTTATGAAAGATAAATCCAGTCCTCAATGAAATAAAAACGATTTCATATAGAAATGGTTACTGGTTGGATGTGATGGCTCCGAACACGTTACTGTGAGGGCAGCCAGCCTTCCTGGTGGGCCATGTAGCAGACACTTTCAGATGGTCCCACAAGGCTGCCAAAGAATAGTCATGATAAACAAAAACAAAAACAAACTAAAAAGACTTCCAATGTTGATTATGGCCTCTCACGACTCAGTATGCTTATGCCTGGTGATAGAGACTTATAATCTGAGGGCAGTTAAAGGAATGTTAATTCTCCACATTCAGCTGCTAAATCTTGCAAATGTGTGATTTGGGTTCATAGCATTCTGCTTTGGGAAAATGCCTGATTCTGTTGTATACTTTGTTAAAAATGATTAGTACAACAAAGTAGATTCTGCATCACTTATTGGGTGTACATAATGAGATTGATTCACTTGTTTGATTTCCTGCTCACCAAGGAACTCTATGTTTGTTGAGTGTTACTGAATTTGTGTCCACCAGGAAAAAGAGGAGATTTAGATTTATTCTAATAAAATCTTGTATCAAGGCAAAATTAAACTGTAGAGAAGAATGAGTAATGCTTTAAAACATGGCCATGGTATTAATTTCAAGTGTACATATAGCAAAAGCACTTTAACAAAAAGCACAACTTGCCTTTCACTTTTCTTCATTTTTTTTTTTCCTCCAGAGTACAAAGTAAAAGAAATATATTGACCTCAGGGTTTATTTGCTTTTGTTTGTTTGTTTGTTTGTTTGTTTTGTTTGTTTTTAATAGTTCTAAATAGTTGGGGAAAAAAAAAAAGTGTTCCTAGAAGTTGCTAAATTCTTTCACTTATGCCTCATGAGAGGTAGAAGTCTCAGTAGTCCATACTAAAATAATAAAAAAGTTACTAGGCAAAAACTACTCCCCCCGCCCCCAAAAGCAAAGTACAGGGTATATCAGATAGCCATGCTGACAGAGAAAACTAATCTTACATATTGGAAAGATGAATGACAAACAGGAGCATAGTCTTTAAGAGGCATAAAAAAACTCCATACTCTAAGACATCTTGGCAAATAAAATTTATAATTCAGAAACAGAAAAAGGTTACAAAGAAAACACTACAAAAGTCCACAATTGAACTTTGAAGTTTGCAAGTATTCTGAGTAGCTTCATTTGGCAACCCGTCCCCAGGCTTTGTGTGTGTGTGCAGTACCAGACATGAGCTCTACATCAGCAATCCTCAGGTTAAAGCAATATTCACAGGTGGGTTTTATGGGGAGTAAATCATATACAACTTTGGCTTATAAGAGAAAACAATTCCTTATTACATATCACGTGTGAAAACTTATGTATTGATCTTTTATTTTTTTGGGTAGCCAGGGAATGCAATGACCGTCTAAATGAACTACTTATTGATCATCCTCCTGGATACAGGGAATTACATCAATTTATCTTTTAAGAATAATGCTTTTTCTGGCATTACATAACCACAGCAGAGTGTCCTAAGCTTAGCACTTTTTCCAACGTATTTAATCTTTATAATAACTTTGCGACTATGCAGAGCTCTTCATAAATATTTAATCCAAATTATTCTGCAGACAAAAGCACCAGAGAAGAGTCAGAAAGTGACTCACAGTTTCTTAATCAGGGATGAGTGACTAGGCAGCTCTGATGTCGCAGTGGGAGCAGGTTATTGGTGTTGATTAAATCATCTGAGAATGAATCCCATCTGCAGTTGTGGGCCAAATCCTGGCTTGAGCAGGTGGCAAGCCATGCCGAGGCAGTGTGCACTGAGGATCTGCTGTTCTGCTGCAGTTCTGCGGCAAAATGCAGAATAACAGTGCTGTCCTTGGCACACGGGGCTTCGTGATTATTAAAACTTTTCCCTCCACAGCAACAGAAAAAAAAAATCAATTCTGGCACAGATGAACAGCAAGAAGGTGTGACTTCTTTCTAGTGTTTAATTTGTATTATATAAATGCACGTAGTTCGGAGCAACATGGATTCAATAGGCCTTTATAATTGATGTATGGCTCTGTTAGACACTTTGCAGTATATGCTCAAGCATTAGACAACCTAATTTGGGAAACCAAGTGTAATCTACGGATTTAAACTAGAATCCTCATCCGTGCTGGACAGAGAGTGTGCTCATATCCATTCAGGAGACAGGCGTATTTTTAATTTAAAAAGCCTTGTGGGTTAGAAAAAAAAAGTATTTCTTATGCTGTTGGATGAAGTCTTTGTGAGAAAACAAGAACAATTTCTGTAAAAGAATATTATATACTTTAAACTAGTACACATCACTCTAGCAGTAAAATAATGGTAAAAATAAATAAGATTAATTTATTTCCACTCTCAGGAACTTTTATCATGATATTATGGATGGAAATAAGAAAGAAAAAGTGATCACACATTAAAATAATTTATTGCTCATTAAATACTGTGTGAGGTATAGCAGTTCCTATGTTCTTCTGGTATAATTTAATTGACTTTTGTTTATGCTCACATTTTCTGGATATATATACATATATATATTTTATTGATTTGGTAGCCTACAGTAAATTCATCATATGTGCCTAATTGCAGGATGGTTTTAAAATAACATCAAGCGTTAGTCTTACCGTTTGATCTTACCCGGTTAAATGAGAGCGGATACACGAACAGCTCTGGGGATCCTGCAAGAAATATTGGGGAAATGACATTTTCCTGAATTTGTGCAATGACATTTTCAGTGACAGCTCCTTTGCAGTCTAGGTCTCCGCCACTGCCTCCCAGCCTAAAGGAAGCCAGCTCATCCAGAGATTGGCTGTGCACATGGGTGTTAAAGGACCGTTTTTATCCTGCTCTTTCTCCGTCTGTCCAGACATACAGACTGGTTTGTTCCTACCGGGCAAAAAGTGAGCTGAGCTGCAGCTGGCGTTAGCCTACAATGATGGTGCATCCACTCCTTCACTGACATCAACTGCGTCCATTCTTTTTCACACATGAAATCCATTTATTTACTTATTTATTTTTGTCTTGAAGTCTGGCTCTGCAAATGGCAGCAGGTCAGGAAGTGCTGCAGGAGATGGTCTGCTGCTGCAGTGACAGCCAGCCACCCCTGTTCAAGTCTCTGTCTCATGAATCTTTGTTTAAAATGGCTTAAAGAGGCTTTTGGCCATCTGAACTTCCACAGTTTATGAAAGTTTCTGCTGTGTGACACAATACACGATTTTACTGAAAAAAATGGCAATGCAAAGGATAGCTGAAAAGCAACCAATCACCATTATGTCAGTTTCACTGACTTATCCTTACTACATGACCCTTTCTTTTCTGGATATGTAGATAATTCTATTTACTCTTTTGTATTATGTTCTGTCTTCAAGCAAATGTTTGAGCAAAAACCTTGGAAATGAATGCAGCTATGGTCACACGTACCTTACTAAATCAAACATATACTTCTATTTGGGATAAACTACATTTTGAGTTGCAACACTGCCCTGGACACTATGGCTGTTCAGTGATAGTTACTGCTATGAAATGCTTTCTCTGATCTTTCAGGACTGCAGGATCCCATCAATCATCAGGGAAAGTGCTGAAGTTTAGATTCAAAATTACTTTGCACTGACAGTTTAAATTAAATATGTCTTCATTATCCTGAATGGTACACAAACAAGCCTCCATAATTTCATATTAAAAATCTTTTTGTTTCTGCTTCTCTTTTCATAGAGTCATAGAATGGTTTGGATTGGAAGAGACCTTAATGATCACCTACTCCAGCCCTCCTGGCACGGGCAGGGTCACCTCCCACTAGAAATTTATTTTATTCATGCCTACCATCACTTGTCCTGCATCTGAATCAAGTTCAGTGCCAAATATTTGATATGTCCCCTGCGAGATCTGCTGCATGCAGCTTGGTGTGATGCAAATGCTGAACAAGGTGCGTCCAGGGCTCCAGGTGAACAGAGCAGGCAGTCCTGCCTTGGTGGTTCCTACCCTTCGCAGAAAGGCTCCTTGCGTGCCTCACCAGGCTCCTCTGGTAATGATGCAGCCCTGTACTTCAATGGCACCATTAACCTGGAAATCCTCCAGCATTTTAAAGAGGAAGCCTCTTATTTTACACTTACAGTGTTTCTGTTGGGGTAAGCTCACTGGTAGCCCTTTCCCTCTCCCCCCTTTATTTTTTTTCAGCCCCACCAGGCCACTAATGAGCTTTCATCTCCCCACCAAAACATGTCTAAAGATGTGGTGTTATGATTTATGCATGTAACAAATATGTTACGACCCTCCCATTAACTTTTATGACTAATGCATCTTCAGGCTATCATAACAACTCATATGGTACATAAGAAGAAGTGGAAACCCTTCGACATGAATTAATCCTTCATGTTTTACGTCTACTAAAACCCTCGTTTAGCTCAGTGCTGTAGTTTCACCAAGACTTGTTATATACTGCTATGTAACCTTGATGAAATAGACACAGAAATCAAAAGAACATTGTCAGTTTGGGATGTACAGAAAATATAAACATTTGATTTTTCTGTAGGCAAAGGAAACTGAGTGGCAAAAAAAAAAAATAATAAAAAAAAATAATGATTGCCTGAGCTGTTTTACTAGCCAGATTTGTGGCAACTCTGAAGGCAGATCAGTACATTAGCTTCTGCACAGAGGGCTACTGACACCAGGACCAGGAAGGATGGGAGGTCTGCATCCCATCTGTGAAATTCATGCTTGGTGCTGTAAGGTAAAATGGAAGCCCCAAGAGGGCAGGTTGAGTTGGACAGGTGACTCTGCTCCCATGTGGCCTGAAACCTGAAAGAGCCTTTCTTGCACAGAAGACATGCCACCCTCCTTGTCCACCCACACTTTGCTTCTGTCCAAGGCACTGAAGTGGCTTTTATTGTCTCTCTGCAAGAAACGCTATGGGTTTCTCTGCCTCACACATATACCGGTTTTCAAAGCTCTGCAAGATCCAAAGCAAGAAAGTAAAATATAAAGGCAAGATACTGCTGTTTTATTCCCTGTGTCATGCTAAAGGGGAAAAAAGGCATTATAAATTGCTGCAAGCAGAAGAGCAGGCTGTTGTGTTCAATGCTAGTTTTATGATGCTGAGGTGAAGTTAATATGACTCACTCCTATAACTTACATGGGCATGACACAGACTTTTGACATTTAATATTTTCTTTTTTACTTACCAAAAGTTATAATTACCTCTTGAAAGCTTGGATCCACTTTATTTTCCTAACATTTAGTCCCTTTATGCTTGGCATTTTGCCATTTTTCCAATGTACATATTCCATCTGGGTACTTTTCTGGCCCTTAGTGCTGCAGTGGCTAAGTGCTTAAAGGATTTATAGATTTTATTTCATGGGTATCTCATATTGTACATGGCAATTAGAGACCTGTGGAGTCATTGCAGCAGGTCACAGTCACACAGACATTGTATGGCACAACAAGGAACAGGGCCAGTTTAGGTGCACATTGTATTTCAGTTATGGGATCTGGTCTGTGCTTAAGCTCAAACTCCTTTTTAGTCTGGACTGTTTGGAAAGACATGATGTTTAAGAGGTCTGAAAAATTGCATGGAGGAGAAAAGCCAGGCTAACTTTACTCATAAAGTGAATCCCATCCAGTGTCTATTGCTGGCTAACATTTTTAAGCAGGATGTTGTGTCTTAGAAACAACACTACCTAATTCTCTTATAATGGCCAGTTCAAACAAATCAAAGTGCAAGTTAAAAAATATTTTTCATCCCCTCCCCCCCTTTTTTTTTTTACCTTACCTTGCTTTTTAGAAAAACTTCTATGAAAAATATTTGCATTTAAACATATATAAAATATGTTTAGTGTTTCCATGAAGATTCAACCTTTCTGAGCCCAATGTTATTTTTCCTACTGCCTGTTTTGAGAGATGAAAGGTATCTTTACCATGCCAGAACATGTAGCTGCTGCTGTCTTTCACAAGGTAATAGTAAAAAAAAGGAGGCAACTGAAGAGGATAACTATTTTTTACTACACAGAGAAAAACAGAATATTTCATTTGTCTTGTCAGCCTTGAAGACTAAGCAATCCAACAAGAAAATATTATTGGTCATGAGGCAGCGCTTGATCACCAACAAATCACATGTATGTAGCTCATGCCTAGACTGTGTATTGCCCTAAATAATTGCTAACCTTTCATTTCTTAATCTCTTGAGGAAGGGGTGTTCTCACTGAGAGAAATGCATCCTGTGTACCTATCAAGCCGTTTCATTTCCTTCTTGAGAGCCTTACCCTCTGTGCTCTTTCTATTGTTAGACATGGACTGGAAAGACAGAAGTAGACAGGACAGCCATTTGCAGCTGTTGGAGGAATCCTTGGCCCATACTAGCAGCAGCAGTAAGGGGTCTCTCAGAACCTCAGTTTTTATTTTTCTAAAAAAGGAGGTATAGGTGGGTGGGAATAATGCAGAGCACCCACTGGGCTCTGGCAAGGAGCTATTGAGTGCTGCGCTAGGTACAGATGTGTGCTTATAGCTGCTCCGCAAAGACACTGAGCACGCTGTGCACAATCCACTGATGCTTTTGCAGTCCAGGCAAGGATGGAATTAATAAATGATGAAGAAGCAAATTTCAGGTGCATCCTGGTGGGCAAAATCTGCAAGATGGACTGCTTGTGAGATGGACTTGGGCAAATTGGTTCAATTTTCTGTGCCTCTTGATCTAAGAATGGTAGAAAAATAAAATAAAATGGAGTTCTTTTGTAATAAGCATTGTAATAACCATTACTAGTAATAGCTTACTACAAAATGCTCTATGAGAAGCATGGTGCATTGCTATCTATAGTCCTTTTTTTTTTTTTTTTTTTTTTTTTTTTACCTAGGACATTCTCCATAGTTTTGCATGCCAAATAATTTTGCCTAATTTAAAGCTTATTTTCCTTGTTGTGTATAAAATTATTATTTTAAAATGCTTCTTTCCTTTCAATAGGGTATTAGAGTGCTGTGTGCATCAAGGATACTATTGACATATTCAGTGAGATATTTTTAGCCTAGTGGAAAAAAAATAAAATCTTGAGAAAGGTCAGTTCTTTCACTGTGCTAATTAAATTGCTTTGGAAGGAGATTATATCACGATGGTGACCAGCAAGCTAGCCAGAACAGACACCATTCTGTAGTAGGTAGCTTTTGTGAAAGTGTTGCTCTAAGAATGGCTTGCAGAGATAGGCAAATATGCTAATAGATTGCCCGTGAGTCATTCAACGGGTTTCTTCCTTTGATGTTTTCATTTCACAAATGCAGGGAAAACAGCCATATCTCTCAAAAAGAGATCATTTTCATCCAGTTTCTATTACATTTTTTGTTAACTAAGTGCAGCATTGTATATGTCCTTTTTCAGTAACAGATTGTACTGTTAAATGGAAGCCTGCATGGTGATGCCTGTTAATCACTGTCATCTACAAGCTTGAATTTATGGAATGTATGTCTCTAATGCAACTTTTGAAACACGAGGATAGTCTGAACAAATGAGGAGGTGCAAAGCAAACAAACTAATCCAGAGCTACCACAAGGTGGGGTTAGGTCATTTACGATCTGACCAGTCCACAAGGTGAGTTAGTAGTCACGTCAGCCTTCACTTTCTTCTCTGAATCCTCTACACTTCTCTAATATGCATTTTCTCTTTACAAAATCGTCTCCTTTGTTAGGAGGATTCTGTTCAGACACCTTCCTATTCTGTGTCCACCGATGATTATTGCAACACCCATCCCCCAGTCCTGTTTTTCTGGGCTGTGTGGCTGTGCACGTCAGCACAAGCCTCTGCTCTCTGATTTCTGACTGCGGAGAGACAAGCAACTAATTTTTCCAAAAGCTTCTGCCGATCCCCTACAGAGTACTTTGGTAGTTTAGCAAGGACATTGGCTGCTAAAAACGAGTTTGGTTGCTGCTTAATTAATCGCATAAGGACTGTGTAATCCACTCAACCAGGTGACTGTTACATTCAAATCACCGTAAACACGTCTGAACACTTCTCTGTGCAGACAGCACAAGTTGTCAAGGATATGTGTCTTGCGGTAGGGGAATTTGACCTCTTGCATGAGACTGTCACTGCCTTTTGAGACCCAGATTTTAATAAATATCTGCACAAAGCAAGTTGTTAACTCTAAACTAAGGTACTGTTTTAAATACAGCAACTAGGAAGATGAAATTGAGGGAGGGTAGCCTGCATATAACATGCCCAATGACAGTTCCCAGAGTCGGTGTGATGAGTCCAGGAACAAATGATTTTGCAGGAAAATACCAAGAGTCAAGTCCAGGTGCCAAACTCAGGGACCCAGCAAAAAGAGACTGTGGTTGGAGATATGAAAGGGATTGGCTGGGATTTCTTTTGGGAAGATCAGCTTTCCGATCTTACATTACCTGTGAAATACTGAAAATACTATCTTTGAATTCAAATTGATTGCCAAAGTCTGGTGTCGGTTGTCAGACTTGCTGAAAATGTATCTTCACCCACCTGGACACAGATGTGTAGGAGGTTTCTAAAGGAAATCTCTATGGATGAGCTGTCCCCGCCGCAGACCAGGGGGTCCTGCTCCCAGCATCGCATGGCAGTGACAAATGGCCACTCCAGGGTGTCTTCTCAAAGGCTTCTTGGTTGGGTGTGCTTCTAAGAACATTTTACAGCAGCTATAATTACATGGTAGAGCATAAACTAACAAGCTGCATCTACTCAGTATTAAGGATTAATGATCTGAACTTTTAGTACTTACTTCCCCACAGGGTAGCAAATTCACCAAAATCATGCTTCAATAAATGCAAAAAATATGATACATAGCGCATGTAGAATGTATGCATAGAAAGAAGGTTCTTCCCCTTCTTGTCCCATTATCTGACACAGGACATGGCTTAAATGGTCTGCAGTTTCACCCACCTGAGCACCCACCTAAGATGCAGATTTACTGACCACTGTGATACAGACCTCACTGTGTGCTCCCCAGAGGTGTTTGTTCCCTTCTTTCACGCAGTCCTCACCACCTCTCTCTCACCATCCACCTCATCTTTTTCTTATGGGTGACACAGTGTTTCCTGTACACCTGAGCCCCACCACAAAATGGGCTCCTCACCTATGCTTCCCTGTTGACGCTGCTCTGTCATGCTTTTTTTGGCAAGGCTGTAGTGTTTCTCACACCTTGGACTCTTACCATCTGTCTGTGCTTGGGCCTCGCTTCTGAATTATAAAAGACTGGGATGTGCTGTGGTCCTGTCTGCCTGCTCCTTTGATCTCTCTGGCATACACCTGGTGCTCATGGATGGACGGCAGGCTCCTTGCAAGCTCCCTGGTTCCAGTTGGCTGGGACTTGCTTAGCCAATCTGCTTCCATTTGTCCTTGTGTGCTGGTTTTTGAGCCTTGGTAAACTGGTAAAAATGAAAAAATAAAAATAAAAAATATATTAAAAAAAATAATAAAAAGTGTATCAGAGTATGGGCTATAAAAAATATATATATAATAATAAAACAAAACAAAACAAAACAAAACAAAAAAAACAGCTTCCAGCTTTTTGGAGCTTCTGGTAGAATCACATCTTTCCCATCACGTCTCTGGCTAGGCAGTGCTTGCTTTGATGCTGGCTCAGTTCACCGCTGTGATGAATCAGAGTGGAAGGAGATTATGCCCCCTCACTGAGGTGGACTTCAGTCTAAAGAGACTTGCCACTTCAAAGTGAGCCCCAATCTCTGCTTTGGGTCACTTGAGCAGGACATTGACCAGCAACAGCAAATCCTCAGACACCCTGTAGCTCCTCAGCAAGCCTATGAGCTTGTAAAACACTTGAAAACAGGGTATGAATTCTGACCATGAATGTGAATGTACTTTTCAGGTGGGGCTTTTGTGGCTAGTTTTAGTGAAAGCTGCTTGAAAACACTGCTCTTCCTTACCTGTTTAGCAGCTACCTCAAGGAGTGTTTTTATTTGCATCCCTGCAGGACTGAAGTGCTCCAGAGCTGCCCTGGTCCCCAGCTGCCAGAGTCCACCTGGCAGCTAAACAAGCAGTGGGCTCCTCCTCTCCTGGAGACAAACCCGGTCCTCAGGCTCACTCCCCAGCTAAGACATCTGTATCCTGAAAATAGGCTGAAGATTTCTTATTATGTTGTTTCTCTGGCTGTTTGTGTAAGTAAATCTTGTAGTCAGGCAATGCATGAACAGTTTGGCACATATAATTTTCTCAATGTATTCAGATGTAGTGCCCTGAATACTAAGCATTGTGCTCTCATCAGTGGAAATGCCTGATTGTGAATGTTGTGTTGCTTTTTTTTTTTTTTTTCTCTTGGCAGTTGGGGTTATATGTAAATTTTGCACTTATGTGTACATTTCAAATAAACTGGTGTTTTTAAATCAATCAATAAATAATTTATTTAGCCAGACATGCCATGAGACAGCTGGCCTGGCAAGTCAGGCTCCAAGGGGAAATGTGAGAGGGACTAAAAAGGCAGCTCTGGACTGAAATGATAGTATTACGTCTTGCCTGAAGGCCCAAAGAAATGTTGTCTGTGTGTCCTGTCCCACCAGCATTTGGAGCCCGAATATTCAAGCCATTTTCATCAGTGCCAAGATGCTATCACTGCCATCAAGCCCTGTCAACCATCAGCAGTGGTATTCCCACTAATACAAGGGCTCCTTCCACTCCCACTACTGTAAATCACCAGCAAACCTAAGGAATGATGGGAGAGTTAGAAGCAAAAAGCCAATAATATTTTTATATGAGCCTTCATCTTTATTTCAGCTTATTCTCTTTCTGACTTCCTTCTGGGACCATCCCCCTTGGGTTTGTATCATTGCACTGGACACCTTTGGCTCAACCTTCCTCCAAGGCCCCAGCCTGACATCCCTGTTTGGGGACAGCCTCTTGCTGTCCCGCTTGCACCTGCAGTTGTGCCGGAGTCACCGCAGGGACAGCCCTGTGCTCTGTGGGCACTAGCAGCACAGCCTCTTGGTGAGTTTGGGGAGGCTCTGCTCCCGTAGCTGCATCCCGCTGCAGTTCTGCCTCACCACTCCTGGGAAACAGCTGGAAATGCTGAGAAATGGAGAGTGTTTAGTATGCAGAAAGCTTCCCTTCTCCTCCTTCTTTTTTATTATTTATTTATTTATTTATTTTTTTAATTGGAGAGTCGGAGAGAACGGTAACACTGAGAAGCTATTATGCCACAGCCTGTCAGCTGTAATGTTGGCAGGTGGGTGTCTGCGGGTTGTGCCTTTGGTTTGCTGATAGGAGCCTTGCACAAAGAATATCTCCAGTGTTAATCAGGCCCTCTGAACCAGCCTGCCAGCTCAGGAGAAAGGAAACAAAATTCAAGCCATGATTGCAAGCCTTCCAGCTCCTGCCAGGGAGCAAGGAGGATAGGAATCAAACCCTGGGGCTGATTTCTAATTAGGAAGACAATGAGACATTTGAAACAAGATAGCTGCAATTAGGATGAGAGGCACTACAGAGATCAAGAGAAATACTTCTTCATAAGAACAAGCTGGTGCTTCTCTCTACGGGAACATGTGGCATGGGGAGGGGGTGGGGGAAGGTAGCCTGCTAGAAATAGACTGGCTGTATAAATTGAACAGAAAACTCAGCAGAGAAAAATCTCCTCTACGCTTGCAACTGATTTCAATGGAATCAATGCTTCACTGAAAAAATAAATTAATGTTACCAATCCGGCATCTTGGTTAGCAATAATACACTCATCCTCATCTTGGGAACAACATATAAGACTACTTTTATATGAGGAAACCTTACTCCAGGGTTCACAGAGGAAGACAGGGCTGCTATGATATTTGAGAAAGACGAGACAATACTTACAAATCCAGGCAACAAAAAATTTAGTATTCCTTCAGCCAGCTGTTCTCCCAGAAGTTGGCAGTGACTCTGTGTGATGCAGACGATTGCCATCACTGGCTGGGTTGCTTCACTCCTACCTTTCTTCTCAAATAGCAGCCCACTAAGCTTGGAACTGAAAAAGGGCTCAAAGATCTGACCACTCACATGTTCTTAGCTAGTAGTGGGGGAAGAGGACAAGCACTAACTATTTAGTCAAGGCAAATGACTAAATGACTTTCTTTGCCTCAGTCTTCACTGGCGAGAGCTCCAGCCACATGGCCCAGACTCCAGAAGGCAAAGACTGGGACTGGGAGAATGAAGAAATGCCCACTGGAAGAGAAGATAAGGCTGTAGACCAGCTCAGGAATTTGAAGGTTCACAAATCCATGAGACATCATGAGATACATCTGTGGTCCTGAGGGAATGGGTAGATGTAGTTGGTAATCCACTGTCCATCATATTTGAGAGGTTGTGGCAGTCTGGTGAAGTTCCCACTATTTGGAAGAGGAGAAGCATAGCCCCAAATTTTCAAAAAGACCCAGAGAACTACAGGCCAGTCCGTCTCACATCTGCACCCAACAAGATCATGAAGCAGATCCTCCTGGAAACTATTCTAAGGCACATGGAAAATAAGGATGTGAGTGGTGACAGATAACACAGCTTCACTAAGGGCAGATAATGCCTGACAAACCTGCTGGCCTTCTACAATGGGGTTACAGCTCTGGTGGATAGGGGAAGAGCAACTGTCAGGATGCTAATTTTCTAATTTGGAGATTAAGTGAGATAGGAAGAAGAACTTCTCTACTCTGATGGAAGGCGCAGCCCATGCCCAGGCTGCCCAGAGGAGCTGTGGCTGCTCCATCCCTGGCAGTGCCCAAGGCCAGGCTGGATGGGGCTGGGGGCAGCCTGGGCTGGGGGGAGACATCCCTGTCCATGGCAGGGGGTTGGGACTGCACGGTCTGTAAGGTCCCTTCCAACCCAAACCATTCTGTGATTCTATATTTCTTAAATTATTTCTCCTTTGTTCAAAAAGACGTGATTTCCTTAGCTGCCACTAATCATTCCAGAGAAGAGCAGTGTTTGAGGCTGTTCCCCAAGAAAACACAACAAAAAAACAAAATTCAGGCTGAGCAGAATGTGATGGGATGGTTTTGTTGAGACAGGAGAGAGAGCCATGCAGGGCAAAAGAGGCTGATCATATTTGCAAAGGGTATTTAACTCCCAACAAGCTAAACTTAATTCCAGTGACAGCTGAAAACATTAAGCATCTTCCAGGATGATGGTGTCTATCCACAGGTAAAATCATGCTTTCTGGGGAGCACACTCAAGAGAGTATCATTGGAAAAGGAGATAAAAAAGGTTACCAAAATAAAACAAAATAAATACTTGTTTCATTCTGAAAAATTAGAGAATGTTTATTAGCCCTCTTCTCTGAAATACACCATTAGGGATTACCCATTTTTCTAAGCTGTTTCCCATCTCCCCATCTTCTTTTTCTTCTGTCTTCTGTTGTCTGTGATGTATTTGAACTGGACTCTGTATGAAGGTTTATTTAAGCAATCTATAGACAAAGACTTTTCAAATGAAGGAGTGTGTTTCCACTTAGATTCCTACTGAATTGCTTTGGTTTTGTATTCTGTCACTTGCATCTTTCTATTTAGTTACACTTCCACCTAAGATTGATAATAGTGTTCTTTCTGGATGAAGTTATCCCAAATAATTTTTTTTTTTTTACCTCTTTAGTGTTTTTTGTTTGTTTTTTTTTTTTTTTTTTTTTTTTTTTTTAACAACAGCAAGAGGTTTCTCTGCATTTTTTGTTATATAACTGCCATTAAGTCCTGTTGCTAAGCAGGAAACAGAATCAATATAGAAGGCAAGCTATACCAGCTCACTTTGAATTGCTGTACATTTTTCACTTTTCTCTTTTTATTTAACAGTTTTCTTCAGCTAATTTCTGATATGACTTTGTGACTGGTATTTTGTAATTCAACATATTTTTAGATTGTAGGTTACCTCAACAGGAGAGGCACCTGGCTCTCCAGAAAACTTGTGAGGAATCAGGCTGGTTTGTTCAAACAGGGCAAATTCCTCTCTGGCCTTTCTCGTTTCCACTTAAAACACTTAACTCAGGCTTGGATTAGGTCAGTGAAGAATAAATCTCAATCTAAGCATTCTTAAAATGAAATCAAAATGCCCGTGTGTTGGTTTGGCCAACTTAGCCAAAGCAGCACCAGACTGCGGACAGGCGAGGCTTGTGCCTGCCCTCTGCTCCTCCTCAGGGCAGCCTTCAGATGCCTGTGCTATCTGACCATCTTGCCGAGTGACATGAAGCCACACGGACTGCTTCAGGATGCTTTCAAAGGCTACCTGCCTAATAGGTCAAATACAGATTTGTATGAAATGAATGAAATGCAGCTGGAAAGGTACTGAAGTTTGAGTTACTAGAACATCACTCGCAGCTGGAGAAGCATTTTGGAACACGCTTTGAGCTGAGGTTCTGCTATGATAAAGCAATGGCATTTTAAAGCACATTGATCACCCGTGACCAAAGGGACAGTGGGAGCCAGCATGGCATGGGGACAGCACCAGGAAAAGTAGATGTTACACAGATAAGGGCACAGGGGAAAATCCCCCAGTCCCAAAATAATGAGGGTGGCCATGAAAAACAAACAATCGCAGAATCATCAAGAAGAGGATTCTACGAAATCACGGGCCCTTCTGTCTGAAAACAAAAACAAAAAAGAACAACAACAACAAAAAAAAACCTATGTTGGTCTATAGTTGGTACTATAAAGCAAAACTGTACATACGGGGGATAATAACAAGCGTTGGGTAGGGACAGCCACCATTGCCAACACAAGTAAAAAATGCTTCTTCTCTGAGAGGCTCTATACTTATCCAGCAATTTACACCGATGATGTTTTTGGATTATACACTGCTTGCATATCAGTTATATCATCCTCAATGGCCAGTGGCATAAATTGCCTGCCAGAAGCAACTTGCCTGGTTAAGCAAATGAAACAAGGGGTTAAACATGGAATAAACATTAATGCAATGATTACAGAGAAAAGATAAACGCATTTGATCCAGGGCCACAATGGGAGCTGAAAACCTGCTGAGGAAACCCCTTCCACCTAAGATTGATATTAATGTTCTTTCTGAATGAAGTTATCAGTTATCCCAAATAATTTTGCCTTTTTTTTTTTTACCTCTTTAGTTTTTTTTTTTTTCTTTTTTCTTTTTTCTTTTTTCTTTTTACAACAGCAGGAGGTTTCTCAGTTTATTTATTTATTTATTTTATATATAGCTGCCATGAAGGCCTGTTGCTAAGCAGGAAACAAAATCAATATAGAAAGCATGCCACACCAGCTCACCTTTGAATTGCAGTACACTTTTCACTTTTCTCTTTTCATTTATCAGCTTTTTTTCAGTTAATTTCTGATATGACTTTGTGACTGGTATTTTGTATTTCAACATATTTCTAGACTGTAATGCATAAAATATCATGCTATT